GAGGAGACTGAGGGGTGCCCTCATTCATAGGTATCAATTTGTGAAGGGCAAGTGTCAGGAGGAAGGAGCCAGGCTTTTTTCAGTGATGTCCAATGCCAGGACAAGGGGCAATGGGTGCAAGCTGGAGCATAGGAGGTTCAACCTGAACATAAGGACAAACTTTTTTACTGTAAGGGTGACAGAGCATGGCCCAGGCTGCCCAGAGAGGTTGTGGAGTCTCCTTCTCTGCAGACATTCAAAACCCACCTGGCCGTGTTCCTGTGTGACCTGGTCTGGTGATCCTGCTCTGGCAGGGGTTGGACTGGGTGAGCTTTTGAGGTCCCTTCCATCTCCTGATATTCTGTGATTCTGTGAGGCTATAAAAAAATGCTTGCCCATCTGTGAGACACTCATGTTTTCTTCCGTAGTCAGTGAAGCACTGCTTTTAGGTGGCATGTAAAGCTTAACAAGTCCACATGGTGGTGATGTTTCTTCACTTACTCTAGCAGTTACGTTCCAGTTTCTTACAAAGTTGAATGACTCAGAGGAATTCTAGTTTCTGACTTGTCTTTATGTGACAGTTTCTACTGTTACTAATTTTGTGTGTTATTCTCTGAGGATATGGCTCTTAATGTACAGGGTGCTGCCTGTGTATTTACATGTCTGAATGTCTTTAAACTGTTTTCCCACACTTGGGAGGTTTTGATTGCTCTTTTTTTCTGGGTCATTGCTAATCTGTTTAGTACTTCTAAAATCCACAAGCACAGTTTAGTCTGTTCTTGTTCAGTATGCCAGCCTGTTCTTATGAATCTTGATTTCTGTTGTCCTTGCTCTAATTCCTGCAAGATACGGCAAGTTTTGAGCTCTTCGTGCCTGGAACAATGCGTATTTGTGCCTGCAGCAGTGCTTTGTGTGGAAATGCAGGCTTGTTATTCTGAACCGTTCCTGCAGGGTCATCCCGGAGTCTCCACGGTGGCTGATCTCCCAGGGAAGATTTCAGGAAGCAGAAGACATCATCCGAAAAGCTGCAAAAACGAATGGCGTTACAGCCCCAGATGTCATACTTGACCCTAGTGAGGTAAGGTTCATTTAGCAGTCCAGTTGTTTGCTGGACCTCTTAATGATCATGTATCGTGGTAAAGTACCAGACATAGAGCCGAGTTATCCCTGCAGTGCATACTTCTCCGGTGACTAAAAGGTCATTCTTTTCCTGAAAAGCAAAATACCCTTTCCCGGCTTCATTAACATTTGCAAAGCCCTTGCTGCCCCACTCCCATGGGATTGCCAACATGCATTCTGATGCTAACATCTTTTTAGTCCAGTTCACAGCCACCTTTTTCCTTTTAAACTCCAGTTTTTTGGGGGGAAGGTAATGAATTTGAGGTGCCTGTTGCTTTGTGTTTTAAATACTTGCCCTGAACAGATTTTGTGCTTGCACAGTCTAATATAGTTCTATAAAAATCTAACGCAGGACTAATTTCCAGTGGCACTGGAAATAGTGTTATTCTAGTTCAAGTCCATATTCACCTCCAATTTCTACTCCATGTTAAGGAAAGCAAAATTTGAGCCCCATTAGGATGGAGTAACTGGCAGTATCTTTTCTTCCCCATCTGTTTCTTCCAAAATGTTGTTTATTCCTTTAGGTATCTCCCCTTTGAGCTGTTTGACCTTAAGGTCTGGGAGCACCTCCACACTCATTCAGATGTGCCCTCCAAAAGTCAGACAGGCGAAGTGTTTGCATTATCCAGGAGAATGGGCTCCTCTCTAGGCAGACCTGTAGAGTCTGTCTGGGCAGTTGCCCATTTGTGTTCTGGTTGAGAATTGACATTGTCTTGTTGTTTATTTGAAAATCCCTTGCATACTCACTTCCTTTACAAGGAAAATGGTTACCCATTAAACTGTAGTGTGCGTGCTATTGAGATTGAAACAGCTCTGCTTGGGTTGAAATAGCTGATGTGAAAACAAGCCTGCTTGTCTTGACTTATCTGTAGATGGTAGGGCAGACATCCTGGTCTTGCTGGAACAGAGTGAAAATGCCAGGAACACCCAGACCTTCTTATAATAGCTTTTCCCTGGATTTTCATTAGAATGTGCTTTTTCCCCTCTATTTCTCTCCTTCTTTCTCATGCTGTAGGCATGACAACTCACCCATTGCCAGCACTACAGCAGGAGAATGGAAAATAACCTCTGGCTCCAACGTCTGCTTAAGGTCACTGTCCCTGGAGTCCTCCATCTCCCATTCTTAGAAAGAAGAATTATTGCTGTGACCAAAAAAAAACCAGTGCAAAGCTTCTCTTCGTCAGTGGTCTGTTTACTGCTTTTTGAAGAGCCATAAAGCAGAAGGCTCGCTGTCCCTCTTGAGTTTTTAGGAAGTGTATTTTTACTGCAGAGACGTTCTCAGAAGTGCAGCTGGCCCTCAGCCGTGGTGCAGTTGGAGTGTGAGCTCTGCATGGGGAAGCAGCCTGAGCTCATGTCTGGAACATTGCTTGATCCCATGCAGCTGGAGAGCAGCAGCACAATATTTAGGCTCCAGACATCTCAAACCCAGTCATTTCAGCAGGTGACGAGCTGCAAACCAGCTGCAGAGCACAAATAGGGCCTGGGTGGCTGAATTATCTCATGTAAGGGGGATAAAAGTGGATTATAGGTTTGATTTCACATCATCGTTTTGCCCTCCCTGTCCCTCTCACAGCTTCTTGCTCTAGCCTGTCCTAGTTAACCCTGTTAAGGATTGTGCTGTCTGCTTATCCAGCACCTGATAGGTCCTTTTTTCTCATAGGGTCCTTTTTTCTCATCAGCTACGACTCTGAATTTTACTGTTTCTGATTTTATTTTGTGGTTTGTTTGGGTTTTCTCCTTTTTTTTTTTTTGTTTCCTGTTTGCTGGTTTCTTGGCACCAAATCATAGCAGAACTGGAGAGCACTTAGGAAAGATCATGTGATTTATGAGAAAGGGCTGTGAGCTGCAGAGCTGACTGCAGTTTGTGGGGTGGGAGAGTTGACTTCAGGCAGGGTGAAAGCTATCAAGTGTAAAGAACTGCTTGCCTTTGGTAGAAAATGAAGCATAAAAGCAGTATAAAAGTATTAAGAGTATAAAAGCAAATGCACTGAAGTTTGGAGCACACAAGCATCACACCACTGTTGTATTCTCCAGGTCTTCACAACATAATATTACTTCGAAAGAATTCTCACCTGACTGAAGGGTGAAAACATAAACTTCATTAGCTGAGGTTACAGTTCACAGGACCTTGAGAATATAATACATATTTTGAGTTGAGGGGCAAGAGTTAAAGGCCCCAAATCAATGTCCAGCAACTGGCTTGCCAAAAGAAACATCATCACTCAGAGTATGGAAGAGAGATGGATGAGGAATTAAGTCAAACTAATGCTTACTTTTGTCTCTTTGTTGGGGTGTTGTGCCCTGCAGTCACCCAACTACTTCTGCTGGATCAGCCTGATATTTTAGGGGAAAAAAAAGTATTGCCAGTTGAAGTAATGCAGAGAAGATGGTGTGTTAGACCAGGCAGAAAGAGTTCAGACAAGTTCGAAGCAGGCAGTGATTGCACTATTTTGAAACTGCAGTCATAGTTTGCTCTTGTCTTGTAAATCATTTGCACGCACTGTGAAGGAGTACACAGCGCCAACAAAAGGCATTCAGTTGTTAAACATATTAAAATGTAATTTGACATTCTCGGGTCACGCAGACTTAAAAAATAAAAGGAGGAAGTAATCTTTGTTTACAGTTTATTGTGCTTGCACATAATAGAGGTCTGTCAGGCAAGAGTGATTCTTCTCGTTGTGGAAAGAGAAGTCTGCATTTCAGTACTGTGAGGTGCCTTGGCAGCCTACAGTTCCAGAAGTGTCAAGATTAGAAATGTGTCAGTATTGTCTTTTTTCATGTGATGATCTTGAGCTGTTAAGGTGGATGCCTGTTTCCTTCTTGGTTAGACTTCTAACTGCTGATAGACTCCGAGATTCACATAGGTATAAGATGGCCTAACAGAAAAGAGAAGATTGTAAGGTCAAAATCTTGTTACTGTTCTTACTGTGAGACTGTGAAAAATACCATTAAACTGATGAGTCAGCAGCCTGAGAAGTCCTGAAAAGATACCATCTTTTGTGAGAACAGAAATATGACATGTCTAGAAAACTGTGGCTCCTCAGCCATGGAGAGTTGCTTTATCAGAGCTGACAGTTTTAATCAGTGGAACTTCTCCTCTTAAATCACCTTTTAGACTTTTTGAAAAATCTCTCCCTTACTGTTCCTTGTTAGGGTTCTAAATTAAAGTCCTAAATTAAAAAAACAACCCCAAATTCTTTCCTTTTTTACAATCTTAACGAGCCCAAAACTTGTTTGCAGGCTTCATGGGTGGGTACCTTTGCATTGTTTACATGGAAGTGGAAAGGAGAAGTTTGTTGTCTTTTTGCTTTTCTTCTTAGAAGAAGATGTGTGTGTCAAAACCAGGCTGGATGACGATGGGGACTCTTCAACTCATCAGCCAGTTTGTCTCAGCTTAAAATCATTACTATTAGGTCCAGCATGAGGGGCCATTTGCTACATCTGTCCTGCTGCACTTCATTCTTGTTATTTCTTGCCTTGTCTGCAGTGGACATTGTTTGTCACTTTTTCCCCTGGTCTTTGAAGACCATTCTTGGTCTTTTAAGACACCCTCAGGCCCTTAAGCCAAATAAACCCTTGACTTTCAGACTTCTACAGATCACATTTTTCAAATACCTCATCATTCCTGTTGCTCTCTTCTGGTCTGGGTGCAGTTGGTTTGCATGGTCCTCAAGGTGTGCTGCTCAAAACCAAATGCAAGAGCTCTGCCGTTAATGACATACAAATCGTGGATTAATGCTATTGCTTTATAATTCAAGTATAGACGTAAGAATAAGCAGTTTCTTTGTGAAGCCTCAGGCAGAGAAAATGATTGCTAATTTCAACCTGAATTTTAAGTGACTTTAAATTAGGGAGGAGCAACTGCTTCCACAGGTATGACTTATGTGTGCTTGGTTAAAAGTGATGCACCTGTTTAAGTTCTGCAGTAGATCAAAACACTGATGTGTAACTTGGAGGGGACTTATTTTCACAATAACTCTGCTTGCAGGAAGCTAATGCTGCCATGTGTTTTTTGTTTGGTTGGTTTTTTTCCCAGCTGCAAGATTTGGATTCCCAGAAGCAACAGACATACACCATTTTGGACCTGATGAGAACCCGAAATATCCTAACTATCACCATTATGTCAGTGATTCTTTGGTAAGCAAGAGTTCAGGAGTACGTAAGCACAAAAGCAGCAAAACAGTTAAAATCTGCCCTTTGAACACTAAGGTATCCTGAAGAGATATGGACAAAACCAGCTCAAAACCCAGCAACCTGCTGGCTGAGGCAATAAAATCCTGGTTACGTCGTTCTTCATTTCAGTAACGGTCTAGAAACACATCTGGGTTGTTGTTTCTTTCTGAAGCAGTCAGGCATATCCTGAACTGAGCAAGAATCAGCTCAGCTGGCATTGTTCTGTGGGAATCCTGCTTGATGCTGGGCCCTGGGGAGTCCTCATTGGGCTGTAACAAAGTCTGGTTAGAGGAATGAGCCACTCCCTGTCCCCCAGTGAGAGAAATCCTGCCCAGGGGTCTGAACACAGCAGTGCCTGACTTGTGGGGAGAATCCTCCCATTTCTGGTAGGACAAAGCGTCTGAGAGAAAGAGTTTTGTAGCAGTTTGTAATCTGTTCTGTATGCTGAAGGGCTTTTTACCACGTGATAAATGAAGTTTTGTGATAGGCAGGAGGAGTCAAACGTGGGCAGCTGACTCACGCAATCTTACCCCCTCTTGCAGAAAAGGGCTCAGTAGATTTGGGCAAGTTTTCCACTATTTTTACCTTGCATGTCAGTTGCTTAACCTAGTTTTAATTCCCAAAATGTCAAGGATCCTGTACTGACTCGCAGCAACGTTTTCCAGCCCGTGTTGTACTCATGGTATATTCTGCGTTATGAATTGAAAGATCTCATAAAGGAAGCTCTGTGAAAGAGAATGGTTGCTGATAGCAGTATATTACCTTTACATGTTGCTGAGTTGGTAATGTTGAATAAGTAGCAAACCTTTAAACTAATCACTCTGCTGGGTTTACACCAGGGAGGAGAAAGTTTGGCTTCTCATCACCCTGTGATGTGTAAAAACTCCTAAATTTTTTCTAGAAAATGTGTAACTGAATCAAGGTTTGCTGACGTGATAAGCTGAGGCAAAATGCACAGCTTATTGTATATACGAGTAACTCCTTGGAGCACAGGACGGATGGCACAGCACCAAGGAAAATACCACGTAACTACTTCTGAGAAGAGCAGCTTTAGCTGGCAGGGCACAGGCAGCAGCAGGTTTGGACTGGGTGACTCCATACCATACTCCCAGGTGCACTGGACAACTTGTTTTAAGCAATTGGACCGTGAAGGCCCTTCCCGTGTGAAGTGAGGAGGAGGAAGAGCTGATTTCTTTGGGGCAGTGATTTTGCTCCAGGTTCTGCTGCAACATAAATGCTGAAGGAGACGAAGTTCTGAGTGCTCTGTGCCTCCCTGTTGCACCTGGACACGTCCTGACCCTCGTTATTTCCTCATTTACCACTTGTTACTTGTTGGTGAAGCGTAACTCTCTCTCCTCAGCATCTCCCAGGGCATGACAGGACTTGTCTCCAAGGCCTGGTGTGTGTTTCCCTCCATCACGTGGAGGCCAGTTCTCATGGGGCAGTGCACAGTTGGGATGGCCGTGTGCCCAACCACCGAGCTCGGTCGTGCTGTGCTGACCAGCCCGGGCACCCAGCCATGCAAACGTGACTTGGGTGCTGCCCAGCCAGCACGGCAGAGAAAATCCTGGATTGTTTGGGTCTGCTGGGATGCCATGCTCCTCCTCTCTGACTTTATACGCAAAGCATGGAGGGTGGTGACCCAGAAACAGTGTTCTCCACACAGAGCTCCCTGGTGAACGTAATGGAAAGCTGCTGTAGGCCTCAGCAGCAGTAAAATTCAGTAGTCCAGACTTCCAGACTAGAGTTTTAATTACTGGTAACAGGAACCGCTGTGTCACTGCATTGTGAAGGATCACCACTTATCTCCTGGGGGAAACCTGAAATATGGAGGCATTCGTGAGAAGCATTGAGTCCCTCTCCGTCAGCGTGATTAGCAGAGACAAATGAGATGTCCAGACGTGACAAATACCCCGAGCTTCCTTGCAGGCTCTGAATGAGAGTGGGCTGGACAGTGGCAAAGTTGTGCAATGGCATCAGGAAAGAAGTGTGACCACTGTAGCTGCAGGAACATCCAGCACTGGTGGGCTCAGCAACAGCTCTGGAGTTTCCTAATTGCATTAATGCTGAATAGGATATTTTAATTTTTATATAGATATATTATTCCTTCAATTCAAGAGAAACTTGAAATATAAACATCAGTACTGTGTAATTGTCACCTTGCTGTTTCTGAAGGCAGCACTTAAGATGCTTCAAAGGTGAAAGAACATCTGGCAGATGCTGAATTTGCCTTACGTGGTGATTTCTGTGCTTAACAGAGGCTTGTGGCAACCTCAGGGAGAGGAGAAAATTGTCTGATCCTGTTACTCTGCTTCTTTCAGGATGATAATCTCTGTTGGTTATTTTGGACTGTCTCTTGACACACCTAACCTGCACGGAGACGTCTACGTGAACTGCTTCCTCTCGGCGGTGATTGAAGTTCCAGCCTACATTATATCCTGGCTGCTGCTCCGAAACCTCCCTCGACGGTACTCAATGGCTGCCGCGTTATTCTTGGGAGGCTGTGTTCTTCTCTTCATTCAGCTGGTGCCTTCACGTATGGAATCATTAGTTGATCTCAAACACGTACGATAGGTGAAGTGCAGGACCGTGCGCTGGGCAGATGTGGAGGAGAAGTATTCCTGAGGAGACTAAATAGAGATATTAATTTTGCCCCTCTCCCTCGGTTCTCAGTGCCACTGCACAGGGAGCTCACACAATGTCAGTTTAGATCTGTTTTTAAAGGTGGGTTGTTGGCTTTGTGATCTGTTGGGATCTGCTCTGTAGTCCAGTTTTGCCTTAACACACATCCCTGGCCAGGTGCCCTGGTAAGGTCCAGGTGTAAAACCAGGACCAGACCAGCCAGGATTTGATAAGTGGATGTTACCAAGACGCTGTGCAGTTTAATTCCCAAATGTCTATCCATGACTGTCTCTTCATGGCTTGTTTTATTGGAGGGAGTCATTGTGGATGCATTTTTGATACACAAAGGTGTTTGTTCTGAATTAGTGTCAATAGTTAAAATAATGCTTGGCAACTGGAAAGGAGGATAAACTAACACTTATTGGCTATCAAACCATATACCCTTAGGCTAGGTAGATTAGGAGAGTTATGAACTCTTACTGGTAACGATGCTGACGGTGATTGGGGGACGTTGTTGCTTAGCATTTGTTTACAGATCAAAGAATAAACAAAAGAGGATGCACAGGAAGTGCCTTGCTAACTTCATACATGGTAATACATGCGTTGTGTTCACTTTTTCTCAGTCCTTTCAGTCATTGGACACTGATACGATCTTCTTTTGATGTTTAAAACCAACTGCCCTGGATGAAGTCAACTCGGCTTCCTATAACTTAATTCCTGTCTTGTAGCTCGGAATGTTAATGAGAAGCCAGAGCAGGAAACAAAAAATAACTTGTTTCAAATGTTTAACTTTGTTCCCCTTTATTAGAAAAGAATATATGGCATTGTTTGGAATAGCAGAGATCTGGTCCCTGAAATCTGAGAGGACCTCTCCAGTTCTTGCTCTGTTCTCCTGATTTGTTACTTGGCAGGAAGGCCCATTCTCAAGAGGAAATTAAAATCTTGAGTTCTAGTAATTTTAAAAAATAATTAGAAAAAGAAGCGAAGCCCATGCTTGTAGACATGTGTGGAGAAAAACAGACACCAGATGCTGGAATTAATTAGACAGGAGTTATACAAACACAATGGAATTAAGAGAGACCATGAATTGTCCGAGCTCTGTTGAAATCCTTACTGTGTTTTGATTTCAGATATTCGTGCGCTATCTATCATGCTGGTGATGTTAGGGAAATTTGGGATCACATCTGCCTTTTCAATGGTTTATGTTTACACGGCTGAGCTCTACCCGACAGTAGTGAGAAACATGGGAGTTGGAGCAAGCTCCATGGCCTCGAGGCTGGGCAGCATCCTCTCGCCTTACTTCGTTTACCTGGGTGAGTTAAGGAGTCTGTGCCTGCGCTGGGGAGCTGCTGGCGGGTGGAAACCAATGCTTTTTACCCAGATCAGTGTCCCTGCTCTGTGGGTTGGGTTTTTCTGCTGTTCTTTGTTTCCAGATCCAGGCGTGTTGTGAAACTGCAGGGGAAAATGGGGACTCGGCATCTCCGAACAGTGGTCATAACGTAGAGAAATTGTGTTTTGTGCCCTCTTGAAGAGGTGCTCTGAACGCTCACAATCTCACTGACTCAGTAGGGACAGCTCTTACAGTTATTGTGGTTGTTAAGCTCCTAAAACCAAATAATTTGAATACCAGACTGTCAGGGAGTTTGGTTTGTTTGGTTTTATTACTGAAAACATAAATCTTGCACAGATAAAGCCCGGTATCTATGTACAAACATTATCGGAGATGGAGCTGATGCTGACTTCTTTTTAAATTATTCTGCTAGGTGCCTATGATCGGTTCCTGCCTTACATCCTGATGGGGAGCCTGACGGTGCTGTCGGGAATCCTGACTTTATTTCTGCCAGAAAGCTACGGTATGCCTCTTCCGGACACCATCGAGCAAATGCTGTTGGTGAAAGGGTAAGCGTCACCTTTGGATCTTAATGGATCTCTTTATTCTGAGATGAGAGTAGACTTACAACTTACAGTAGACAACTTAGGTGTTGTCATTAGACTGCGAATCTAACGTTTTACTCTGAGGACTTAGTAAAAGTACATACGAGGAATGCTTTGTACAAGTGTATTGCTTTATAGAGTTGCTTTTGAAAGTATAGGGATGCTTTGTGCGTTATAATCCATATTTCTAGGCTCTGAAAGTCATGTAAGTCCTGGTGTACAAAAGGGACCTGTCCAGCTGAAGTCAACAGGATATTAAAATTAGGAGGCCGTAATGTCAAATAGGGCTCAGGATATCAGAGATATTTTTCCTCTCTTCTTCTTGTCTATTTTTTAAATTGTTTTTCTTCTTTTCTTCTTTTTCTTCCCCCTCCTAGATTAGAATACAGGCCTGCAACGGGTAGCACAAGGGATACCAAGGAGGAAGAAGAAAATCCAGAGATTTTTAAAAGCACAGCTTTTTGATGGAGCGTCTGTGTACTTCCCGGTGGACTGCAAGTTAAATGGACTTTTCTTCTAATATTTGTTCTAGAAAGGGCTAGTGGCAACATATTGTTTCCTGTAATTTTAACCTTATTTATTAATTTAAACACTGTGTTCTGTACATTCTCTTTTTATATGAGCAGAAATACTGTGTAGCCTTCAATGAGATTTTTTTTCAGCCACGGATGTTTCAATGCAGTAGTACCACGGAGCAGTATCTGATCGATCCTTTGTAACTTAAGTGTATAGTTCAGCTGAAAGATACTTGAAGATGAGTTCAAGGGCTGGCAGGGTACCTGGATTCCTCAGTGAACCTTCTCCAGAGCTAATGCACAAGAAGAAGTAAAAATTGCCAGGAAAAGCTGCTAATTGGTTTTGATTCCTTTGACTCCTGCCTCTGGGCAGGAAACTTATTTATTATAGCGAAGGTTATGAGAAGATGCCTCTTGATGGTCTCACTCAAAGGACTTTGCACCTGCTGAATTTGTTACCAGATTCAGAAAGATGCAAAGAAAGATTTTGAGAATTAATTCTGCCTTGACAGGTTTTAACTCAGCATAGGTTGAAGGGATTGTCTTGCACAAAATACTTGCAGCACTGACGTTTTGCTCACAAAATTCACTTGATTCCGATGCTGGTTTTCCACTGTCCCTGCATGGTGAAGCTGTTTACACCTGACCCTGGATGTGGCCTGCTCCAGGCTCTGTATTTATTTCAAACAATGCAAAAGGTTTCATCTGTGTGGGGAGGGAGAGGTGCAAGTTTGGGGTTCTTCCGTTTCGATGTCTGTTGAAAGTTTTATGTCTGCGTTGGTTTTAATGTCTTCTGTGCAATTTGGATGATGGAAACAATTCTGCTGTCTTTGTTCTGTGCTTTTCACACGTGTGCACACGCACACAATCAATGTATTTAGGGCTAAATTCTTGGTGTTAATCTGTGCCGCCGCATTGACCTCATGGCGGAATGTACTGAGGACAAAATTCGGCGTTTACTTCTGACCCCTGGTTGTCGCTGCTCGAGTGCCAACTGTATGATTGCTGTGAGGGCTGCTGTTTCACTTAACTCCTGTAATCAGCGAATTGTTCTCAAATTATTTTAAAAAACCCCAAAACGTTTGTTGACAGCCTGCCAAAAAATTGTTCCCTGGGTCACAGAAGCACCCTTGGCATTACCTGTGTTCCTTTATAAATATACACGATTTATGTGTACACGTTTGTGCTCTTCTGATTGCCCTTTGACAGATGTGAGCGGCGAAAGATTTCTCTCTGGTGGCACTTGGTTGTGTTTTGTGCTGTCTTGTAGAGGCTGAATAAACGGAGCATAAACCTTTATGGCCAGAGCTGTAGAGGCCTTACTCCAGCAGCAGTTTGGTATTTTCCTACTGTATTTAAATATTCCAGCCTTGAACGTGAGCAAATGGATGTCAGGAGAGAGCGCGTACCAGCCAGGCTCCTTGCCTAAAAGGCATGATACAGTTTGTTGGGCTTAATGCTTTGTTTGTAATATTCATTGCAAACAAAAGAATAAGTTCCAAAACTTGGTACAGATGCTTTGCTTTGTAAACCTGATTTCTAGGAACCAGAGCGTCGAGAAGCAGCTTCTTTTCTGTGGGCTGTGGAAGAGTTATCTGATAGGTGCAGGAACCTGAGGCAAAACACACTTAGCTGCAGCTTCCTTGTAGTGAAGTTGCCAATGTAAACAAGCGAGTCCCTTAAGTCCCTTCCTGTAAACTGCTTCAGAAAATATCCTGAGATGTAAACACGATCTAGGATGGAAATTCCTGTCCTCAAGTGCAGGGGCCGTTTAACGTCTGATTTAGCAGTAATTTCTTATCCGCTGTTTTAGCCAGGTATCTGTGCTTGCATATTGAAGTATTCTGATGTTTACTGCGGGGGTTTTGTTGTTGTGTTTGGGTTTTGAGGGGTTTTTTGTTGTTTGTTTTGTAATCCTGACAAATGGGGGAATTTCCTGGTTATGACTAATCCCACAAAACACAATGGCAATCTCTTTGTATCAAAAAAATGCATTTTTTTTCCCCTTGCTTATCTTTTTAAAAACAAAAAGCATGAGTCAGAAACGCAGAATGTATTTCATGTAGCACACTGGGTGATTTTGTATTTACTTTCTTATCCTGCTCTTCTCAAGTTTCTCTCTTAAAACAAGGGGCTTATTCTAGTGGGCAGGCAGAATCCAGCTGAGATGTGTCCACAAAAGGAATGGAGGGACTGTTTTAATACAGGTGGGTGATCTGATCTGTGCAAATAAGGTGTGGATGAGAGGAGCTGATGCAGTCGTTGGCTTCGGAGGTAAGATTTGCAGTGCTAAGTGTGGCTCTGGATGCACCTGCAGGATAAAGCACCGGGGCTGCACCGTGCCTTGGCTTTGAAAGGCAAAGTCTGCTGAGTGCCATAATCATAAACAGGGTTGGGAAACAGAATTGAAATGGGATTGGGAAACAGGATTGAAACAGGATTGGGAAACAGGATTGGGAAATGGGATTGAAAAGGGATTGGTACTGACTTTCTGGGGCTCTGCTGTGAACAAACCACTTTAACTTCCATTTTTGAGACGTTTCTCTCGCCCCCATGGAGCCGTTGTGCGAGTGTTGTGAAATGAGCCAAGGCCCACTTGGGAGAAGCTCCTCTCGGCCTCGTGGTGGATGAGGGATGCACAGGACAGCCTCAGATCCCAAGGTGAAGTCACACATGGATTGTCCCTTCTGTAATGAGTTGAGGGGTTTTAGGACCAGTATTTGAAGGCACCTCAACACCAGTCTTGCCCAGCGTGGGGAAGGGTCTGTTTGGCTGCTCTCTGGGAAAGGCAGTGCTTTTGCTCCTGTTCTCAAAGCAGCAGCGAGTGACACTTTGGAAGGGGAAGGGACAGAATTTGCCTTTGGAAGAGGCGTTTGATAGACCTGTGAGCTCCTTGTACTGCAGAGGAAGATAATGCAGGCTTTGACGTTCAGGCTAACCCTAACCTGGGAAGTGCTGAACAGTTTTGGTGCCCGTAACCCGTATTCCAGCGGCAGTATGAGTTATACAAAATTACCTGGTTAGGCAAAAATCTCTGTTGCTAGAGAAATGCCCACTACAGCATCTCCACCAAGGAAAACCGCATCTGGCCTGCAGTTGGGAACAGGGATCTGATCCTTTGCAGCTCTTGGACTGCCTTCATCACCCTGGGCATGTCGCATAGTCCTGTGGCTTCAGGTTCTTTGCCTCCAGGTAGAAATACCATTAACTCAAGAGGTACCATAACTTCTTGTGAACTTTGTACTCATCATCTATTTGTTCGACTCTGTTTGCCTCTCTTGATGCTGAATGTGGTGCTCGCATGAGCATCACTTCACATTTCATCTTCCAGGAGCAGCTTTGGGTGGCTTCTAACACTGTTTTTGTTCAGAGATGTGAACCTCTGCTCCCCGTTTCCATTTGGAAAAAGCAAGCACGGGGAGGCAGGGCATTGCTTGGGGAATTGAGCTGCAATAAGGCAAGCAAGGATTGGGTGTTGAATGCTTAATGATGCTCTTTTAATTGCACGGCGCCTTCACAGTTCTGCACCAAGCTGCCTGCAGTGTGCCACCAGTGAGCTGTTCCTGAGCATTTCCACTGTGCCTGACTACACTGTAAAAACAAGCAGTATTTTATTGTGAGATGTGATGATGCTAACACTGTATTGCTGATCTCGTGGAATTAAGGTGAGAGTTATTCCCCTCTCTGCTTTACAGCCATTTGCAGCCTCACCCAGGGGGGCTCTGCTTTTTAATGCCCTCCGGGGGCGTAGGCACATGGGCACAGTAACCACGATGGGACTGACTGTGGATAAATAGCTGTTTCAGTGTCTGTAGAACAGAGCCTTGATCCTGGCAGTTACAAATGGTTTGCTTTAAAGCATAGAGTGGGCTCAGGCACCGTAATGCCTTACTCACAAATGCCTTTGGGGGTACTTTAAACTCGTGATGGTCACAGCCTTGTACATAGAAAGATACAGAAAATTCTTCTAAGAATGTAAATATTTCTGGTGGTAACTAAATTGGTTCTTACCCTAGGGTTTTTGTTTTTTTAATAGAAAATCGCTTTTTATTTGTGAAATTCAGAATAAAATCGTATCTGGAATTATCTTTAAAATGAAGTAGTCTTGTAATTTTTTTTTTACATCTTCATGTGTTGTTCGTGCAATGGAGCTGCTGCTTTTTTTGTGGGCTGGTAGGCCTGTATTATACATAATGTCTCTTTTCCATGTATTCTTTAATACTTGTTTGAAGCAAAGAGGTGGTCTTAGTTACAAGAGCAGAGTGGCCTGCTGAGAGTTCGTCTTGGGGCTCCTGTTCCCCTGGAGCGTTTTCCAAATTTTAGCAGCACGGAGAACCAGTAATTCGACATTTATTTACAAACGGAAGATTCTTGAAGAACGGCAAGGAGCTGCTTCTTCTACATGTTTGTAGCAAAGCTGCGTGGGAGCTGAGCCGTGCAGGCATCACCACAGGGACTGCGGGGGTTCCCCCCACCCGTGCTGCGCTGGGCTCTGCGCCCGTGGGTAAGCAGCGGTGCCACCGGCTCTTCAGCTGGGCTTGGGGTGCCAGGTTTGTGAAACAATTTAGGGACTCTGCCCATCGCTGCCTGGTGTTTCTGTCTCAATAATCAGCATTTGGCCCGTCTCGTGCATGGTACATGCACAACCCTCTGTACAAAACATGGTGTGAGAAAACAGCGCCTCTGCGTCGGGAGCAGCCTCCGCAAGCTCTAAAACCTGGGCCACTTCTAATGTATTTTCTTACTTCCTTTCAAATAAATGCAGTAAAACAGTAGGGAAGCGTGAAAAGGTGATGACAGGACAGCAGGA